GAGGCCACCGCTGAGTAGTAGGTTGGAGGCCAACGCTAGTAGGCTTGAGGCCAACGCTTAGTAGGTTGGAGGCCAACGCTTAGTCATGGATTCCTTATGGAATCCGTCTCCCAAGCCGAGGCGCGGGACCCGCGGGCTGACCGTGGCGCCGCCGTGGACCGGGGCCCTGGTGGGACCGGAGCCGGACGGTTCCGCTGGACAGCGGCGATGCATGCAAACGTGATTGGCAGGATGGTTGGCAGGACGCAAACGTCAATCTTCCACACACCCGCCCAACCAAAGATGTTTTTTTCTTATAATATATATACATATATATATAGATTATATATACTTTTTTCTTCAGCATTTCAGGCATCCAATCTTTTCGGGGGTCCCGACACTTGGTGGTGTTTGTGGGGTGCCTGGAGAAAAGAACTGATGAGGCTCGTGACAACAGTGATGTCAGAAAAGATGGCACAGCAGCTTAGACCTAGCTTGGAGAGGGGAGTGCTTCTATTTTTTCTTTGATATGTCTCTGAATCCATGGAAATTTTAGCTGGAGACTCGGCACCTTGCAACAATGTAAATCCTAGAGATGATACAAGTAGCTGCAGCCGCCCTCTCTCAAGTTTGATATAGAAAGCTCAAACCCTATTTTGCTCACTATGGCAAACCCAAAGGTCTATTTTGTCCGGGACTTAACATGTTCTGAAGATTTCTCACTCTTGGATTGCTTGTGTTCTCTTTCCATATCTTTCCAAATGAAATCTGTGCTGGAACTAAGGACATGACCATCGGTGGTACCGAAGCCGGCCGTATTACCATGGAGCTTCGCGCTGATGTGGCCCCTAAGACCGCTGAGAACTTTCGGTGCCTCTGCACAGGTGAGAAGGGCATGGGAAAGTCAGGCAAGCCTCTCCACTTCAAGGGCAGCGCTTTCCATCGTGTCATCCCTGACTTCATGTGCCAGGCTGGTTGAGCTGAAGACAAAGCATGTGTTTGCTTTAAAGTATTGCTTGACCCTGTGAGACATGATTCACGAACTTGAACTTTTTGTGAATTGAGCATGCACAGTAGACCCTGTGCAGGGTGGCGACTTCACCGCTGGCAACGGAACTGGCGGTGAGTCCATCTACGGGGCCAAGTTTGCCGATGAAAACTTTACCCTCAAGCACACTGGCCCAGGAATTTTGTCAATGGCCAATGCTGGCCCCAACACCAACGGTTCACAGTTCTTCCTGTGCACAGTAAAGACTGGCTGGTTGGACGGCAAGCATTGTGTGTTTGGCGCTGTCACTGATGGCATGGATGTGGTGAAGAAGATCGAGGCTGTCGGCTCTCAGTCTGGCAAGACCTCCAAGCCAGTGATGATTGCAGACTGTGGCCAGCTTGCATAGGCGAAGACCGTGCTTGGTTCTGAGTGTGGAGAGGCCTCTTGCTCTCAAGTATGAAGAATGAAACTTGAGAAGGATCTTTTGTGCAGTCTATGTGCTCTCTATGGGATTGAGAGAATCCGTGTTCCAGCGAAGCGTC